CAGTTATGCTGCTGCCTCCGTTTCTACCTGTTTATGTTTCTGCAGTAAAATCACAGTGATGCTTTAAAGTCTCTTTGTGCTGGTGTGTGTTGGTGTGCAGGGCTGTAGCCTGTAGGGTTGTATTGTTGACATGAAAGTAATGTAACAAGTAGTATAATGAATGTCTTTCTACTGGGTGTAATTATATAAAGTACTCCATTACTTTTAAGAAAAGTGTTGTGTGCAATATGTGTAATAACTTTTTTTACTTTACTTTTTTTGAGCAATGAATTCAACACCAATCACAACAAAGACGACCAATACCGCCAACATTCGCAAACATTTGACTTAGTAGCATGTGATTCATTTGCATGAATGTAATGTCTTTGGTATGCTGATTAGAGATCAAGGTGACAATGAGCCAATGAGAACTTATCTTATCAGTTCCCATCCCCAGTGGTATATTTAAATAAATAAATAAATAAATAAATAAATAAATAAATAAATAAATAAATAAATAAATCCTGAGCAGGTAACTCACCAGCAGTTTCCACCTTTGACTTCCATTTATAAAACAGTAGTAGTAAAACCACCTGCACCACAATGACAACCATCGTAGCACAAACCGCAGTAAATATGACAATCAGTGTGTAAACTATAAGAGACAAAGCAAGAAATTAGGAAGTTGATCAGGTGTGGTTTGCATTTTAACGAATACCTGCACAATTTGGTGTTGAATAAACATGATAAATACACTTTTCTTCATACCGGTAGTGTCTATTTAAGACAGTGACCAAGCTCTGCCATTCCACATAGCACCTTAGCTCTTCATTTTATTCATTTAATGTAGGTTTTGGATGATTTTTATTATTTTTTTTAAAGTAAAGTAAAATCTGCCCAACATGAGCTGTTCTACAATCCCTAAAGCTACTTTTAGCTCAACTTTTGATCAGAAATAATTTCACAGTTATTTTGGTAGCTAGAAGAGCACAGAAGCACTAGAATCGTTGGAAAGTCATTCATGAAAATAACAGTACAGAAGAACAGAGCTGAATCCACTGCGGCTGCCTGACTAAAACCTGATGAAAACACTGCCCCCTTGTGGTAATAATTTTCATTAAATACTGTAGAGCAGGGCTGCCCAATCCCTGCCCTCAAGAGCTACTATCCTGCAGCTTTTTGTAGTATCAGGTAAATGTTAAGTGGTAGGAACGGGGGGGGGGGGGGGAGGAAAAATAAAGGATACTCATTGGAGTAATGGCGCGTCTCGTGTGTCTGTGAGTTATGCCTCCAGTCAAATAATATCCTGCAGCTTTTAGATGCATCCCTACTCCAACACAGCTGAATCAAATGGTTTGATTACCTCTTCAGCATGCCATCATGTTTGGCAAAGGCCTGATAACAAGCCATTCATTTGATTCGGGTGTGTGGGAACAAGGATGCATCTAAAAGCTGCAGGACGGTAGCTCTCGAGGACCGGGATTGGGCACCCCTGCGTAGAGCGTTTACCTATTGAACTTTTCAAAGCAGCTGTGCTGTTTAAGCACAATACAATGCTTTCTCTCTCAATCCAATTAAAGTATCCAAGTTGCTACAGATTGTTCAGTTGTTTTGTTCAGACTCTGTTGATGGACGCTAAAAAGTTGAAAAGATCATGAACACTTAAATACTGCAGGTGGTTAAGTGGTCTGAGTACAGTATTTGGTGTCAACTGATTTATGTACTACATACGACAACATGTAGTACATAAATCATATGTATTATTACATATTGTAGCCATAACTACAATATGTGGTCTACTAAAAAGACAAGCAGGAGAATAACCTGGGGCCCGTTCTTCGTACCTCGCTAAGTAAGTTAGCTGGATTTGATTGTTGACGATTTCGCGTGATCTTGGATCGTTCGGTTCCCCGAAGCTCATCCGGGACTTGCTGTCATAGCAACAGAGCCGTAAGCGTAAACCTGCTCGGGAGCAGGTTTACTTTATGTAAACAGGATTAGATCGCGGCCACTCAGGTATGTCCGCTTCATTTATACGAAAGCAACAGCGATATTTTACCACTGTTTTACCATAAATAAATATTATCAATGTAACTAAAGATAATGCAGTACTTGATCCTTTTATTGATTTCATACAGATACATACAGGTCATTTCCTAAAAAAAGGGAAATGTACTATTAATCATTCTATTTCATGTATTTGATTATTTCAGATGTAATTCATATTTTAGAGTAGTAATAGTAAATTACTTCATGTAACAAGATGAGAGACCACGGCTATAAAAGCGAAGGTGGATTTGGGAAGTCTGTCGCAGCCATGTCCTGTCCGTATACGCGAGCCACCCATTGCGGAAGGTGCAAGATTGATAAGGAGAGTTTCAGAATTCAGCGTATATCCGGTTGTTCAGTCTGACGTCACTAGCCGTGTCTGGACCTAAACTCCGCTGCAGGTCCATATATCAAACGATCACTATGGCATTACTGAGAGTTGAAAAACTGTCTAAAGTCTTTCATCTTTAATAAAATGATCAGCGTGTAGGCTGCAGTACTATCCAGGATCAGTAAAATTCGGAGTTAATAATACCTGTAGTTGATTTCTCAGCCAGCTCCCGTTCATACAGTTTGGTGGTTGTAGGGAACGTGGTTGACGCTGTGAACAGTGAAAATTACATACTGTAATTTTCCACAGTCACTTTAGCTTTTTCTTAATTTTGTTTTATTAAACACAGGAGATGAAACTGTATGAAATAGTCATAGAAAGTGGAACTGAACTAACTCAATGTTGCCTTAACATGTTCACACTTACACTCCCTGAAACTCCCATAGAAGTGGGAGACTTACTTTGTAAGGTGTGTTTTACCTGAAATTGGATCGCTTGTGTCTTCAGGTGTTGACACCTCAGGCAGCTCTGTGCTTTTCTCTGGATACTGAGCTGTAAAAATGAAATAAAATACAGTGAAAATGAGATGCAGTCAGTAATATTATAAAGGATATACTTTGCATTTAAATAGCTGTGGTACATGTCTTAAAAATGTCTGAAACCCAAAACAATATAGATAAATATAGAAAACAATTATTTGTACGTTTAGTGCATTTTAAAATGAGGAAGTAGTGAGTCAAGAATGTGCACTGCTGAGCCACATTTAAGCCTAATATAGCACCGCTATTATTCCTTCACTACATTTATTGAAATTGAAATTACCTGTTTTTTCCTTACTAAGTATGGAAGTTTTATTAATTAATTGATCTCAGCATTTTCAGTCTTTTCATTTGAATGACTCTGTCTTCTTTTTACTTAATGAGTTCATTCAACTCAATAAAGTTTTCAAAAACTTTGCAGACTTAGCAGCTCTCCAGAACCTTCTTCTGCACTTTAAAGCACCTGTTCCTGATGAAAACTACTACTTTTGTCTCTACATAATACATAAAATGATATTAACTATTGCAAATGATGGTATTGGCTTGAGTCCCTACCAGTAACACCTGCTTCTAATACTTCCAAAAGTTCTACTATGGAAAGAAGTCGATCTACATGATAGATCATTTCTGCCGCTTGTATCCGCGATCTTGATCTTTTGGTCACTACCCACAGCTTGTGACCATAGGTGAGGATAGGCACATCTTTATTGATTAGAGTTTGTTACAGTTTTCAAACCTGATTTTGCCTCAGCATGGTCATTATGCTTCTGATAAAATTTAACTATTTACCCCATAGTCTCAAAGTTATTTACACATTAAAAAAAGTGACAGCGTGACAGGTTTCTCAAAGAGAAAGTGGAAGAAAAACGTTTAAGGAAACTTTCCAAACTTCCACCGGTCTGTTTATGCTTACTTTGTTTCACAGAGTGTAAACATCAGTGTCATAATAAATATCATTATCATTCTGTTTTAACACACACAGACACAATAACACAAATGAGCCTGTCTACAGTTGAATTTCGATTTCATTACAAAATACCAATTAATTTTGTATTTGTGTGGTAAAAAGAAAATCCTTTATTGTGCCAATATCATATTTTGTTTGTAAAAAAAAAGAAACATGAATTTTAATTTCAAAGTTAAAGCCCTCAGAAATGTCTTATATAAGCAATTTTTCTCTGAAACTAGAAGGCTGTTATAAGGAAACGTCCTGTTTCCACAGACCAGTTTATACCTAGATCAACAGAATACGCCCTCATATTGTTACTCAGTCAATATCACACGTCAGTCTGATTTTGGATTTCATAATAATAGCCTTGTGAAATCGCTACCATGATCTTGTTTGTGTGTGACTTCAGAATCTATTGCAAGGAAAGTTTTTGTTTCCACAGACCAGTGGAAGAGTAGATGACAGGGTACACACTCAGTGTTACTTTATGGAATTTTGGATTTCAAAATAATAGCCCTTCAGATGCGTTTATATCAGCTACTTTTTCATCTACTTTCAGAATGCACATTTTTAAATTTAGGTTCTCATTTCTATTTCAAAACAAACAAATGAAAAAACAACCAGTGCCCGGAAGAGAAAAATATGTCCTTTTCCCCTCTTTTTGTGATAAAATAAAAATGCAGTTCTGCCACCAGCATGTTCATGTTCTTGCATTTTTAGAAATTTCAAAATGATATACTCATTGAGCGTGCTTCCTCATAGCAGCTGTTTTCCTGCAATCTCTCTTGTGAAATCTTAAAGTAATTACAACACCTTAAAGGTCAGTGAGGGTTCATGAAAGAGCATACAGTTAATCTTATAATTAAAAAAAAACTAAACAAAAAAACCTTTCTTATTTCATATCTTTATAAGGAAAAATACCAATAACAGCTTTCTTTCAAAGTCATCTGACCGTGACTTAGCTAAATCAAGTGTCCTGCTGTGACTGTATTAAGAGAAATGATGCAAAAATTTGGGTGGAGAGTAGGGCTGACTGTTTGTTTAGCAGAACAAGTTCTTCATTTAGAAATAAGGAGTTTCTGATATGACAGTGAAATTCGAGGATTCGAGTGATAAAGTCTCAACATGAAAGTCCGTCACATTGTTATCTGCTTCATCTTCCTCAGTAAGTACATTTACCTGTATTATTTCTAAAGTTTTTTGTTATTTGATTTAATTTTTAAGATTCATTAGTCACTATGGAGAATTTACCTTCATCACTCTGACACCACTTGTCTCTTTCTTGCATTTCATGTATTTCTCAGAATAGTTTATACATCAACACAGGAACACATTTATTCTGATTAACCAAAGAGCCCTTTCCAACTATATTAGCATTTTCTAAACCAAACTTTTTTTTGTTAACTTGCATTCAGAGCCTCAGGAATAGTCGTGAGGTTGAGTAACATAATCAACATATTATAACATAATCAAACACCCTTTCGCAGCAGTGGTGAACTACTGCTTAATGTTAAACGGGTCTTGTGCTGCTCATAATTAGCCAAAGACTTACCTTGATTTGGGTGCACAGTTATGATATTGTGACTTATAATGTGACTTGGTGATAAATTTCTTCATGAGGGGCACTGATGTGTTCAAAATGTCTGTGAAGACATTAATAAAACAACAGTGCGTTAGTCACTTTTGCATTATGGTGGTCTGTCAGTAATGCTCACTTGGATGAGGCCACTGACATGGGTAAACACAGCAGCAGCTGCAAGCTCGTTACCACAGCTGTGGTAATTATCAGCCCATTTGAACCAGCCGGAAATTATGCAAAATGATCTGTCAGCTCATTTTGCATAATTTCTTGTTAATGGTGATGAAGAGGCTACGTGTAAAATCATAAGACCATATGTTTGAAAAATCCTTACTGGTTTATTTATCACAGCTGTCCAACTCACGTATTTCTTAGATAAATAATATTTTAAGTGTTTTAACACCTTTGTTTATTTTACTAAATTATTACATTGTGCATTTATTTATTTATTTTTGCACTTGACTGGGAATGCAGTGATCTTAGCTTTACACAGGGGGTGCTGTGGCACCCTCAACACTCCCACAGTGCCACTTGAATTTTGCCAATGCACTTTATAAAGTTCATAAAAGCAGAATGAGTCTCTTGGTGGAGCTGAGGCTTAAATACTTGTGAAAACAAAGCAGACTTTCACAAGTAACTACGTCTTCAGCTTCAGTATCCACTGATTGAACATCAGCATTTAGTTGATGGTTAAAGGATAAAATTAAGCAAGAAAATCAACCTAGGTGAACATGGAGAGATTCTAAATATTAATTACAGCTGATAAAACGTTAATATAGTATTTCAGGTGTTAGGAAATGTGGATATTTGTACAGAGAATTATTGTTAAATCAATTTGTTGATCTTCAAATTATCATCAGACCCGAATATCTATTTGAGTGATAGTAATGATTTACTAATCTTTTCCATAGCACTGCAGGATGGAAACACTGTTCCTTACAATGCAAAGATTGCCATGCATACAGGAGTGGAAGGAGGAAACATCACAGTTAAATGTTCATTTTATATCTTTGGAAAGTGGAAGCTCTTATGTAAGGACCAATGTGAAAGGGGAAACATTCTCATTGAAACAGCCGACCTTGTAGCTCAAAGCGGCAGATACTTTATTAAATACAAAGAAGAAGAGTTTCCAACACGTCATGCAGTTTTTTATGTCAGCATCACACAACTGGAAAAATCTGACTCGGGGCTGTACCGGTGCTATTTGGACAGAGACTTGGATCCATATTTGTTTGATAGCTTTCAGCTCACGGTGACGGAAGGTGAGTTTTTACTAGTCATCATTAAAATGCTCCACAACCTTACTCTAAAAAAAAAGGATAATATTTTCATTGCTCACTGATAACTTCTTTACATCAGTAATGTTTCTGATTGTGTCCCTGTTTGCAGCATCAACAGCTTCAACGCCAGCATTGGGCCCGCAATCTTTTTCAACTTCCACAACAATCACTAAACAGCCTGAAATAACATTTGTAAATTCAGGTGCAGTGAAATATATTTCACAAGTTATTTCTCTCAATACAGAAACATGAAGGGGTAGTTTTTCTATACATAAATACATACGTACATACATATATAAGAACAGTAGTTTTTATACAAAGATTATATTCTCCCATATTTTGGTCTTCTCTTTTCTCTCTGCAGGTTTTCTCTGGCCTGTGGTTATAGCTGTAGTCATGGTGGTTTTGGTGTTGTTTGTTGTTGTGCAGCTCATCTGCAAAAAGACGACTACGGACTCTTGTGAGTTATGTTTCACCTCTTTGGCACCTTTATGATAAGCTGATTAGTGATTCTAATGTGTGGATTTTTAACCCTGTGACTGACTGCTGACATTTGTGGAGCGCACAGAGTGTATAGTCTCCAACCAGCCTTACATCTAAGAATATTTCATGTTTGTCTAATACTTTTCTGTGTTTTACCGTTTTCAGGTTTGAAGAAACAGAAAATTATGAATTATGAAAAGAGCGAGGTAATTTGAACAGAATCTATTGTTTATGATGTCAACATGACGAATACCAATGAAGGCAGGGGGAGGAATCTTGTTTTGCATCTTTTATAAACAGCATAGAGCAGCGCTTATAGTACACTGACTTGGCCCAAAAGTTTTATACTCAGCCAGAACAACGATAATGATGGCACTATTCCTACTGCCTCATTCTATGCACTACATTACCCAGAATGCCTAGAGCCATTCTGGATATTGTAGTCCTTATTATGACTATATATCAGGGATGGGCAACTCCAGGCCTCAAGGGCCGGTGTCCTGCAGGTGTTAGATATCACCCTGAGTTAACACACTTGAATCAAATGATTAGTTCATTACCAGGCCTCTGGAGAACTTCAAGACATGTTGAGGAGGTAGGACACCTGCAGGACATCAGCCCTTGAGGCCTGGAGTTCCCCCACCAAAAGGTGCTTACCTCAAACCTCAAGAGCTTCTGATTTAACAGGGTTACTTTCATCATTCTGTCTTTTCCAGATTGTTCTCTATGACAATCCTCTGACGTTGCCACCTGAAGAGTCAGTATACCAGAGCCTGGATCCAGCCAGCAGGGATGAAGACCAAGTGTACCTTACACTTAAACAGACATGAAAGCACAAATAATCCAGCATCCAGGCCTGAATTTATGTTTCACAACAGACACAGATTGATACAACAGACAACATCTTTAAACACTTCTTTATTCTTCACTTTAGTAAAAGATAAAGATTTTACAGATTGAGCATTATGATCATTATGATATTTTGGTTTAAAATAACTTCTCTTCTCATTCTGGTGCAAAATTAGAGCTCATCTTATATTCAAAGGCACCACCTGGGGGTGCTGTAGGAGTAGTGACAAATATCAGGATTAAATAACAGCTCATCAAAGTGATCTGTAAAGTTGCAAAGCAATAATAAACATTGGTATATTGGTATGTCTTCTTTCCAAACAGGTTTTCCAAACTCTGAGAACATCTGAGAACCAGAGGGGAAAACAAACCCTCCTACCCTAAAAACCACGAAGCACTCTGAGAGTGCAAACATCCACCAAAGTTTTATTAGAATTCACACAAACCTTTTTGAGTTATTGTGTTTACACACAATTTCATTTATTTATTTGGGGGGATTTTTTTTTTTTGTCATCCACCCATTTTCTTCCGGTCCAACCTGGCCACCAAGATCTCTCCCTTGGGCCCCCCCCCCCCTTCCAGGCCTGTCTCCTGGGCAGGGCCCTGGTAACCCTATCCCAGGCAGGGTGAACTGTTCCCTTGAGCTTACACTCATAAGTGCCTTTGTCGGGTCCTTCACCCAGACCAATTTGCCATGGGAGACCCTACCAGGGAACAAAAGCTAACTGACAGCACACACCCTGGAATCTGTGGGAGACACAAACCCCGATTCATGGAGGGGGGATTTTTAGTTATGTTTATTTATTTATTTTTGATCTGTGATAATGGGCCGAAAAGAGAAGTATAAAATTGCCCCAAAATCTGGTCTGACTTTTTAATAAAGTAAATATGTCTGATGTTGCTGTGGAATGACTCCCAGCAGAAGACAAAACTTCATAAAAAGATTTAGACAGAATCATGACTTGACATCTGTTTTTGAAGCACCGCTATATTCTGTATCATGTGCTAACACATAGGATCCATGACAAAAACTGTATTTAAACATTATTTTCTTTTTCTTTATGTTTAACTTATTCTTTAGTTAATTGGTTGTTGTTAATGGCTTTAAGCTCTTGTAAGTCTTTCATTACTACTAAAAAAATGATTTTACTGAGTAGAAGATCCGAATTTACATCAAAAACTCCACTTCTGAAATTTGTGAAGAAATTGCTCCAGGAATTATACTGGATCATTTGTCACCACATGAATTCTACATATTTGAACATTTAGATGGGGCTTTAATTTTTTATCCTTTCATTGTATTATATCAGTTAATAAAATCAAATGCAGGGAGTAAAGAGAGATGGGGAGGAGAGTAGGGCTGAGTGTGTCCTGTGTTTAGAAGAAGAACCCAAACATAAAAAGAACGAGACGCTTCGGGTTTGCCAGTGAAGAAGGACGAGGAGGTAGCGACAAACGATCAAAGCATCAAAATGAAAGTCTGCCACACTTTTATCGCCTTTATCTTCCTCAGTAAGTACATCCACCTCTTTGTTTCCTGTTGCTTTATTCATTTATTTATAGGTGATCTGTGGGTTATTCAACTATAATCAACAAATAGCCTGAAACATCCCCACCCACTCACAGAGTGTACCTTTCATTCTACATAAAGTGTGTTGTAAATAGTTCTACATGCCTTTTAGAGCTGGTGACGAAAAACATGTTTGTTTGTTTTTTAGACTAATGTTAAAGAGGAACAGCAGTGCGGCAGTAAACTGTGCTTATTGAGCAACACATCAAAAATCTAATTTCACGCTCAAAGACATGAACAGTGGGCAGCTTGTCTGACACTGATGCAGTTTCACAGGCTCCAGGCTTCTCTTCAATGTCTCCTTTTATTGTTGTGAATAAGTTAGAACAATCTTTTTTAAGCATCTTCTACACAGCAACTGAAATGACATCAGTGGATCAGATGCTTCACTTTATGATTAGGACAAAACTAATCAGCCAACATAGCCTGAGATTGATAGGCTGAAATGTGAGGTTAAATAACCCTTTGTCTGTCTCATCATCCTCTTTAGCATCAGCTTTAGCTATTACCTTATCCCCCCTATCAACCGCTGTGATGAGCTGATGGTAAATGGACTTGTTCTTATATAGCGCTTTTCTACTCATCTGAGCACTCAAAACCTAAATCACAACAGAAGCCTAAAAATAAGACTCCCCCAAAACGGTGTGACCTTGACCTTGACCCGATTTTCACCAAACTTAAATCAGCTTGAGTTGTTGTTGTTGTCTGCCTTCACACAAAACATGATATCTTAAGAATCAAAATCTTAAGAATATGATAAGAATTTGAAGGATAGATTTCTAACTAGCACTCGCAGCCAAGAGTGAAGCAGTAGGAATGAGAATCAGCCACTCCAACTCTGAGGCCATGGTCCTCAGCAAGAAAAGGGTGGAGTGCCCACTCCAGGTCAGGAACGAATTCATGCCCAAAGTGGAGGAGTTCAAGTATCTCGGGGTCTTGGTGACGGGAGAAGGGAGCTGGAGATTGACAGACAGATTGGTGCTGTTGCTGCAGTGATGCGGACACTCTATCAGTCCACTGTGGTGAAGACAGAGCGAAAGAAAGATACAAGGATCGCAGATACAAGTGGCAGAAGTGGGCTTCCTCCAAATGGTGGCTGGCCTCTTCCTTGGAGATACGGTGAGGAGTTCAATGGAGCTGCTACTCCTCCACATCGAAAGGAGCCAGTTGAGGTGGTTTGGGCATCTGATAAGGATGCCTCCTTGGTGCCTCCTGAGTGAAGTGTTACAAGCATATCCCACTGGGAGGAGGCCATGGGGCAGATGAAGGACACGCTGGAGAAATTTTATCTCTTGACTGGCCTGGGAACACCTTAGTGTCCCCCAAGCTGGAGGAGGTGGCTGGGGAGAGGGAGGTCTGGGCTTCTCTCTGTTTAGGCTGCTGCCCCGCGACCCGGCCACGATAAGCGGAAGAAGATGAATGGATGGATTTCTAAAAAACAGACAAACAAATGGAACCAATTTGATACTGCCTCCCTTCGAGGGAGAATATAAGAAAAAAGATATTGCAATGGCCCTGTTAAAGTCCAAACCTCAACCTGATTAAAATGCTTTGGTGGGACTTAAGAGAGCAGTGCACAAATGAATACCTGCAAGCCTCGACTGAACTGAGCCTACACTGTAAATAAGAGTGGGCTATATCTTTGTGTCCACAAAGATATGAAAGGCTGATAAAACAAACACTTTTATGTTAGAAGCAATGACTTCAGGGTACCACTGCTATGGTGCTTCAGCAAGCTACTGAGTCATGTGAACATGACCCTGTGTATACACAGGGTCATGTGAAAATGTTCTTTTTCATATGTGTAAGTTGTAGTAATTCTCTAAGACAACTGCAACACAGTATGGAGTTTTACTTTGGGCTACTGGTAAATTTTAAATTCAGAACTAATGTATCAAAAATCGTTGTATGACTTTTCGTGTTGTTTTTTTTTTTAAACAATTCTCAACAATCTAGATCTTTGCGATCATGATTGACGTTTTTATGTAGAGTATCTGTAAACAGAATTGATTAGAACGTTTTAAATAGTTTAAAATCAAAGCAACATGTGTATCTTTAAATATAAAGCAGTCTTGTCTTACATGAAGACAGTAAATAATGATTTTTCGTGTTTTCAGCGGCTCTGCAGGATGGAAACACTGGTGTTGTCGGTGCAGTCATTCCCATCCGCACTGGAATGGAAGGAGGAACCATCACAGTTGGATGCTCATTTACTCTGTCTGGAAGCAGGAAGCTCTTCTGTAAAGAAAAATGTGAAAAAGGAAATATTCTCATTGAAACAACAGATGATTCAGCCCAGAGTGGCAGATATAGTATTAAATATATAGAAGGATTTTTTCTCATTCATACAGTTGTCTATGTGAGCATCACTGAGCTGGAAAAGTCTGACTCAGGGCGGTACAGGTGCTCTTTGGACAGAACACCTTCAGATCACTTATCTTTAAACTGGGATTTTGAAGTTGTTGTCACAGAAGGTGAGTTTCTACAGAAAGTCATGAAAGCCTTCATGTCTCTGAGGATTATATGTGTATTTAGTTTATCGTATATTGAGAACAACTGTGTTGTTAGAATATTAGTGAACTTTCTTTGGTTACAGACTGCTTTGAGCAGTAAGTGTTGTTCTGATTGTTTCTTTGTTCTCAGCTTCAACTTTCAAGACTAAATCCCATGTGAAACCCATTTCATCGTCAGCACATCTGCCTTCATCACCACGACCACTAACATGGAGTTTTACTTCAGGAAGCACCTTACCTTTATCAGCCTTCAGTGAAAGCACCAAGCAGCCTAAAACATCACCTGCAAGTTCAGGTTCATTATTCTACATTTTATAAGATTTTCTCTCAGCCAACGGACCTGAACAGAGTTCCTTTCTTACCTACTCTGCAGTGCATATAGTGGAGGTTATTCTGGCTTCGTTAATTGCATCTTCTTTCCTACAGGTATCCTCTTGCCTGTGGTTATAATAGTGGTATTGGCTGTGTTTCTTCTGCCTGTTGTTCTGCTGCTCATCTATAAAAAAAGGGCAGTTCATTCTAATGGTGAGTCCAAACGATTCTTTCTGCACCTTTAAGAGCAGAATTAAATTAAATTTATTAAAAGGTGGGACAGTAGTTCAGTGGTTCAACAGTGCCATGACTGATTAGACAATGGTAATGTGTTTTCTACAGATTTAAACAGGAGAAGCTCAGACCACAACCAGACTCAGGTGACTTATCTTTGTTTATTCTCTCTGTAAGTTTAAGTACTTTAGTATTAAGTACTACTTAATAAAAAGAAGGAAACAAGGAGTGATTTCACGGTTTGCTAAATCCACTAAAACTGCAGTCAAGGATTTTACATTCAAAAACACAAAGACTATAAAGTTAAATCATCATTATGCTACCAATTCAGAGTCGTGTTTTAAGGGCAGTGATTAACTTCATGGTCATCTTTGTGGTTAATGTTCATGAGAAAATTATTTCAGTCCAAGATCAATCATTCATCTGTTTCTATTTTAAGTTTTCTTTTTACTGAAAATTTCGCTAATCTGCAATTATATTAACAGTCAATCAAATATTTTTACGTAATGTTAAAACCAGTAATATCAGAATTTTTACACATCATAATTGTTCTGTGATTGCAGTATTTTGGTTTTATTGTTCATGATGTTGGTGTTTGTTTTGGTTTAGAGTCTGTGCTTTTGTTAAGCCTTTTGAGTACAAATAAGAGCAAAGCTCAGTGAAACCCCCAGTACAATGCACAGACAGACACAGTCAGTGATTTTCTGTTGAATAAAAGAATTAACCTGTTAAAAAGCTGATTGCTCTTCTGAAGTTGTTTCATAATATAATGTTTTAGAATATCTGTATACAGTGTTGTCACTGGCAACCACAGTTACGTATAACTAAAACACATTTTTATTCACACTTGAACTGACTCAAACTGGAAATTAAAACTAAATTGAATTTCAAATAGAAAGGCAAACTAAATAAAAAAAAACATAAAAATGACAATGATGAAGAACCACTGGTTTTGTAAATCGAATATTTCTACTTAAATCTGTGGCAGTTTAAATATCGGCCCTGCAAAGAGCATACCAGCTATGATATGGACTCTCAACAATACCCACACAACCTACATAAACTTTGAAAGCTTTCACAGAAAAAGGAATCAATATATATATATACACAATATAAAACTATATATAGATAGATAAAAAAATATGTACAAAACAACTTGAAGTGAAAATCTGCTGTCTGTTGACAGCTTCTGCTAAATCTGCTGTCTATTTCCCCCCTCAGATGGTTCTTTATGATGACACTTCTCCAACCTCCAAATGTGAAGGCTGAACTTACCTTACTCTTGGTGCAACCTGAAGGACAAGGACTGAACCTTTTCCACACTCATGGAGGCACAATAACACACATGAGCCTATCTGCAGATGGACCCTGACTTTTAATAAGTTGTTTAATGTTGACACACAAGCCAACGGTGATGGATCACTGAGCCTGTTCTGTTGTTATGATTTATTTCTTTGCAAATATTATGAGATACTTCTTCTACTTCTAGAGATATTTCTAGTTCTTGGTTCTTGTTTAATTATGTTAGTTCCCTGTCTGTCCCAATCTCGTCTCTTGTCTTGTCATCAGCGACCCTGTGGAAATCAGTCTTGTCTCTGTGTTTGGTTATTCCTTCTGTCTCCCCGGTCATACCCCTGTGTCTGTCTGGTCACTCTATCTCCTGGTCCCTGTGTTTATCCCTTTATCATCTCTCTGTGTTCCGTCCTTTTGTGCCCCCAGTAAGTCATGTCTCCATGTCTGTTTATTTCTGGTTCCTGTGTTAGGTTCAGTTTTTCTTCCCCTGTCTAGTGAGTCTGATGCTGTTCAGCTGTGCTCTCGGGTGTGTACACTCTGCCCTAATCTGCTCCTGTGCATACAGTGGCTTGCAAAAGTATTCGGCCCCCTTGAACTTTTCCACATTTTGTCACATTACAGCCACAAACATGAATCAATTTTATTGGAATTCCACGTGAAAGACCAACACAAAGTGGCGTACACGTGAGGTTCACCGTCCTGCTGGAAGGTGAACCGCCGCCCCAGCCTCAAGTCTTTTGCAGACTCCAAGAGGTTTTCTTCCAAGATTGCCCTGTATTTGGCTCCATCCATCTTCCCATCAACTCTGACCAGCTTCCCTGTCCCTGCTGAAGAGAAGCACCCCCAGAGCATGATGCTGCCACCACCATATTTGACAGTGGGGATGGTGTGTTCAGAGTGATGTGCAGTGTTAGTTTTCCGCACACATAGCGTTTTGCATTTTGGCCAAAAAGTTCCATTTTGGTCTCATCTGACCAGAGCAGCTTCTTCCACATGTTTGCTGTGTCCCCCACATGGCTTGTGGCAAACTGCAAACGGGACTTCTTATGGTTTTCTGTTAACAATGGCTTTCTTCTTGCCACTCTTCCATAAAGGCCAACTTTGTGCAGTGCACGACTAATAGTTGTCCTATGGACAGATTCCCCCACCTGAGCTGTAGATCTCTGCAGCTCGTCCAGAGTCACCATGGGCCTCTTGGCTGCATTTCTGATCAGCGCTCTCCTTGTTCGGCCTGTGAGTTTAGGTGGACGGCCTTGTCTTGGTAGGTTTACAGTTGTGCCATACTCCTTCCATTTCTGAATGATGGCTTGAACAGTGCTCCGTGGGATGTTCAAGGCTTGGGAAATCTTTTTGTAGCCTAAGCCTGCTTTAAATTTCTCAATAACTTTATCCCTGACCTGTCTGGTGTGTTCTTTGGACTTCATGGTGTTGTTGCTCCCAATATTCTCTTAGACAACCTCTGAGGCCGTCACAGAGCAGCTGTATTTGTACTGACATTAGATTACACACAGGTGCACTCTATTTAGTCATTAGCACTCATCAGGCAACGTCTATGGGCAACTGACTGCACTCAGACCAAAGGGGGCTGAATAATTACGCACACCCCACTTTGCAGTTATTTATTTGTAAAAAATGTTTGGAATCATGTATGATTTTCGTTCCACTTCTCACGTGTGCACCACTTTGTGTTGGTCTTTCACGTGGAATTCCAATAAAATTGATTCATGTTTGTGGCTGTAATGTGACAAAATGTGGGATTCAAGGGGGCCGAATACTTTTGCAAGCCACTGTATATTGTCTGCCTCTCCTGCTGTTCTGTTTTCTGAGCCCCTGTCAGTCTGTTCCTACCCAAAACTGTTGTCATTCTTCAGCCCCATGATGCATGACAAAACTAGATGAGAAGTT